ATGCGCAGAAGCATACAGAAAAAAAGGCGGGGGAAAGACCACAACCTAAGCATGCAGGGCCCCCCCCCCCCCACAAATTCATGCAAGCATCAGCCAAGCAGCCAATAAATGAGAGACTTTCCAGACTAGAGGTGAACGAGCCAGCCCGGAAATCAGGGAAGCAAACGTAGCTAGGTGACAGACACGAGGCATTAACATAAACAACGTCTTTTATCCCGGTGCAACAGATCTGCAATTAACACCGAAAGTGAGTATTCATTAGGAAATTGCGGCTCACTCAGAAGCTGGTCCGAGGAGGCAGAGATTAAGGAATATCCGAAATGACATGGGAAGTTCAGACATGAATATTTAATCTCTTTTCCAATAGCAAATGCTGATTATAGAATCCGTTCTAACGAATTGGAAGGAAGCAAAATTCATTTCATAAACCTTTTGCATAAATGTGTCAACGCTCAACCGTTTGCCCCAGTACAAAAGCAGGGAAAGAACAGGAGCGAAACACTCGTTCCAAAGGGCAGGCGGCTTCTCCCACGTCAGGCCGGCGTGGAGTCCCTGGCTGCCCGGCTCGCAAAGCACTCGCTCAGCTGGAACTGCAGCAGGTTCAGCATCTGCTGAGAGAGGATCTCATTGCAGAGTTAATCCAGTGGGACTGGGCGCAGTGGTAAAGGGGGGCTTACGTGCCGGAAGTGGTATCCGTTGGAAAGCAGGAGGGCCGAGCGGCCAACTCAGAGTCCAGAGCTCTCGATTAATGTCCTTGCAGTGCCTCCACGGGTTTAGAGTGCTCTGAGATGCGGAAGACAGCAAGCAGGGCAAACGGAAGCCGGGCTGCCCTCGCTCATCTGCAGTAAAGTACAGAGATGAAGGAACCGTGGGGAACGCAAGCGTGATGGGGCACTTAGGGGTAGAAGTGCGAAGGCTGAGGTGTGGCCAGAAAGCGGGAGATGGCACTGCTCAAGCTGGAGGAGGACACCAACGTTTTGTCAAGTGGAGCAGAAAGGAAGTTTTGAAAAATCCAAAGAGCAACAGCAAAACTTGCAGATGGACCAAAAGAGGAGTAAAAGCAGAACCCCGACTTTGCATCTGAACAGCAGACTTGAAGGTGGTGTTTTAAATGGATGTGGAGAGAGAACAAAGGATTTCATCTCACAGATTCTAAATGGACGATCAGCCCGGCAAATGCAGGGCAGGAAAGGAAATGTCCTGGCTGGAGAAAGTAGCAAGGCGTTTAATCCGTGCTTCGAGACTGCTGGAGGACCGAACCACAGAAGGCCGCTCACCCAATAGCAAGGCTCCCCTTGTCTGAAGACGACCTGTTTCCAGAAACTGCTCCCCAGCTGCACCTGCCTGGGTACCTCTCTAATCCAGCCCAAGACGGGTTCATCCGCCAGCAACACAGGCAGTGACGACGAAGCACTACTCCCTCCCCAAAAAGCAATGACCTAGGAAACAGCACAGTTAAAAGACGGGACCCTGGACCAATTCTCTGAACTCCCTTCCCAGTATCACCAGTTTTTTGCCTTCTGCAGAGTGCCTTCCTTCATCAGCCATGGATGGCTCCCTCTGTCCATCCCTGAGCTCAAGGCCTGCCCTGCATCAGCTCTTGCCATCCTAACAAGGGACCAGTTCATATCCCTTGGAAGAGATGAAGGCACAGCTACCTCTTCCTGCGCCCCCCAGGAGTTTCAGGCTACAATCTGCTCACGCTCACACATTTTCCAAGTTCCCCCAGGATAGATTCCACAGCCAAGCCTACCTGTCTCTTCTTGAAACCCACCCAGACAGTCTTTCTACCCCTGCTTCCCAACCATGCTGCTGCCTCCTCTCCGCTTCCAGACAGGGGCATCTCCTAAGAACAGGCTCAACCTTCTCCATGAAGCCGAGCAATTCCATGGCCCTGGATTCTCCATATTATGCTGCTAAAGAACAAGTGCTTAAATAATTAACTCAGGTGAGACATATAAAATATTCATCGGTACTGTTTTAATAATTCAGCTTTTAAAAGCACCATGGCCTGGTGCATTGCCCAGACTGGCCATGGAGCCCTGCACGGGAGCACCAGTGAGGAGAGGAGGAACCCTGGCCTCGTTCTGGGTTCAGAGCTCTACACCTGGGAGATCTGAGTCAGCCTCTCCCGCTTCCACCCGCCTTGCTCTGCATTCCCCAAAAGGGTTCTGAGAAGAGGTAACAGGGAGGTTCTACAGTCCAAGGCTAGGCCAGCCTCCTCTCCCTGCACCCTGGAGTGGAAGCCCGCCTGCCCAGGGGGGTCTCCCCCGCCAGATTTGCACCACCCAGCTGGCGCTAAGCTAGAGGCTCTGTTGCCCGGCTGCTTTGCTGCTCTTCCAGCTCTGCAGTGGCCCACCCTGTTCTGGAAAGGCTAAGAGCTGCACTTACTCAGGGGAAACCCAAGCTCCTTTTCCCCCCACGTGGTGTGGGAAGAGGCTCCAGTGGGCTCCACGTACGGGGACAGGAGAGTAAGCCTTCGTTAGACGGACCATCAGCAGATGTGGCAGCTGACACCACCTCACGACCAGGTTGCAGGGGCTCTCTCGCCACACTTCTACCTGCTTGGCGGCCCCGTAGCACAGTTCCTCTGAAACTGGCCAGAAGCGCAAGCCCCAAGAGAGGGGACCGGGCAGCAACTCTTCAGTTAAGGCAGTCCACACTGACGCTCCACTCACATAGCTTTTCAGTGCTGATGGGACAATCAAGCACAAAGGCACCATTACGCTACGAACAGGAAGCCTCTGCTGGGCTCCACAGAGGCTCTGAGATAGCAGAGTTTTTACTGGATTTGGCTAAGAGTAATTAAATTTATTCCAAGAGGCCTGATCTATAAAAGGAACCTACAATAGCAATTACCAGGGCTTCCATTACAGTGGCAAGTCCAGCAGCTGCATCTGATGTCAGTTTAAAGGAACACTGCTTATTCTCGTAGGGAAATTACATTAACTCAGCCTTTCTTCACTAAAAGCTGCCTCTGAACCTGCCCTCCCCAGTGACTGGCACTGCAAGAGTATAATCTTAGCCACAAGCCTCCAGCCAGGCAAATCACCTCCTCTTAGGCATTCAAAGGACCAAGTGTTTCGCTTTTGACACCCAGCACTGTTTTCCCCTTTCCCAGCACCAGCAAGCAGAAACCAAGGCTACACCCTGAATGTGCACGCCACCTGCACACACACACACACAGAGTAGGGAGAAGCAGCTGGTGAGTGCCGGAACATGGGTGTAATTTCAGTGTCGCCGCCTCTGCTATCCTGCAGCTGCCCCCAACAGGCTGACAAGCTGGGCCAAAGCAATTCAAGCTCCATCTGGCTGAAGGGATGAGAACCGAACTGGACTGATCTCAGTGAGCGAGAAGCAATGCCTTCCTTGAGCTGAGATCTGGACGCCTGCCTTGGAGCAGCCCAGGGAGCAGGAGGAATTCAGCCATCTGCTCCTGCCAGCGGGCCTCAGCTACCAGAGGGGGCTGATGCTCGTTTGCCTTTGCCTAATTAATGGGGGGACCCTTCCCTCCCAGACGTCGGCAGCTGCAGCCCCCAGCCCCCCAGGCAGTCCTGTGTCACCGGCTAGACTGCAGGGGGAAACCCGGTGGGAGAGGGGTGCAGACCCCACAGCGGCAGCGGCACCCAATGCCAGACTCTGCAGAGACAGAGACCCTTTAGAGTCCTTCCTCTTTCCTTCCCTCGCTCCACTTGGGGTCTAGGGTTACTGCTGTTAACAGATTCACACGTACAAGTAGGGGAAAAAAACCAGGCCTGCCTGCTATTTTGTCCGCTAGATGAGACAGGGTTCCATGTCAGGAATGAGAGAACAATTGTGTTCAAGCAGCTCCATCTTACTTTTTTTCCCTGTTTGCTTCTATGGGGGCTTACGTATTACCATAAGCAATCAAAACAGAAAAATCACACAATAAACCTACTTGGCAAACAATGCTGAAGGCAAAACGAGCTACATTAAAAAAACTGATCAGTTGCAAAAACTTGTCAAGGAGTTCCCTTGGCCACAGATAGTCATGTACTATGTGAACCGTTATTTTTCAAATTCTGAGAACGTTTTAAACTCTAATGAGCCCGTTCCTCTTCTCTTCTCTTTTTGGCGAAAAGACAGTCCACGAAATCCTCAGTTAACCCTCCCAAGGAATCAACAGGCCATTTCCTCAATTCGCATCCCCAAAAGCAAAGGAGAAGACAGTGGGTTTAATGCTGCAACTTCTTCTCTTTCAAGGGGTAGCGTGTCCACCACAGGGGGCAGACCCTGATGCAATCCAAGCTCTGCAAGTGGGGTTAGGTCACAAAGGGCTGCGGGCACCAATGCCAGTTTTGCCCACCTTCCCAGTATGTTTGCTCAACTGAGCAACATGCCAAGGACCTGCAGAGTTTTGTTCTCTGGCAAAAAGTCTCGGAAAACCTGGCCAGCTCCAGGGATGAATGGAGGCCTTCCTAGGAGGAAACCACTCTGCCCGTATCTGGCATCCGCCGTGCTCCTACACCCCACCAGGCAGAGATTGTCGCTGAGGCAGTACTGCGAGTGCTGCTGCTCTCAGCAACCCCAGGGGACTTGCAAGTTGGGACAGGCACGTCTCGCTGACAATGGATGTCTCCAGAAGAACGCAGCTCTCCTGTTCAGGAACACCCAGCAAAAGATGCAGAACTCAACGAACTGAGCAATGCTGGGGAGACATCATCAGATTTTTTGACAGGGCGGCCTGCTGTACTTCGGCACCCGCTCTCCTCCCGAATGGGTGTCTGTCAGCTCAGAAGTCAGACCCAGCTGGCACCATTACTTAAAGGACAGCAGGCAGCCACCGGTTCCACGTCTTGAAACAGACGTGGCGTCCTCCTTGTCCCTGGGGCTGAGGCCACACGACCTTCTCCAACCAGGACAGGATCCTGCCTTTTAGCCACGCGGTTGGTCGACTTTGGGATCTCACTGCGGCCACCCACTCTGATCCCCAAGCTGCACTGGAGAAGGGACAGGGTGCCCCGGGATGTTCCAAAGTTGGGTCCTGAAAGACAGGACCATCAGGCCGCGGCAAGCAACAGAGCCCTTTCCTTGGAATGTGTGGCTGTGACGGGCTCTATCTACACGCAGAATGCTCTTCCACAAATCCCTGGCCTCTCTTCTGGCAGCTCCTTCCAACTCAAGTGTCAGCTTTTCTGTTCCTCTCTGAATGCACACGCATTCCAAGAAAACCAAACCTCCCAGGCATTGTGGACCTCTGAGAGGAAAATCACCACAGCGTTCTGAAACCGGGCCACTGGAGACGATTCCCCCTAATTAGTGCAGGCGGATCGCTAAATGGGCTGCTGTGGAGGAAAGTGCGTCAGGCTTGGGGCAAGCTCCCGAAGCAACCCTGCAATTGATGGGGAAAAAAACGCTGAGTGGGTAGAATCCCAGTGCCACCTCGTGCACGAGCCTGGCCGGGCATGGCTGCCAGGCCTTCTGCTGTACTTCAAGATGAAGAGTTGCTCTGCCCAAGACACAAGGCAAACTCCCAGTCCTGGTTTTGCTACCTGGAAACATGAGAACAATTCTTTCCAAGATGAAGGACATCAACAGGAAAAGGTCAACATCACCCTGTAGGAAGTACAGGAAATGTTTCTTCCAGCTGGCTTT